TAAACTGGATCTGTTGCAAATAAAACAACGTGATCATCGAAGAGTCTTGGATGAAGCCGCTCAAGTTGAAGGTTTGGGTTATTTTGGAATAACTCCTAATACTTCAATACGCAAAATTGTAGCTGCGACTGGTACTTCATTAGGCTCTGTACACACTAACTCCATAAATTTCGTCCATTCAAAATGAAAATATTGCAAGAGCTAACCGAAGATGATTTCGATAGACGAGTTGAGCTTTGTGAACAAATAAATGCAGCGATTAATGATAACACCATGTAAAGAATATCTGAATCAGTGGTGAATGCACATTTCACCTAAATGGATTTGTTAATAAGCACAATTGCAGGTATTGAGCAATGAAAATCATCATGCTTTTGTAGAAGGGCACACCCAGTATCTCCAAAAAAATTGTATCTCCGTGGTGCTAGGGAAAAAGGGGATAAGTCAAAATTTGTTCAAAATAGGATAAGTTCAAATTCAAATTGAACATTATGGAATCTTTGTTACGGACAAAGTGAGGTATGTTACTTATTCAAAATACAGCAGTCGAGTAATGTTCATAATGAGATAAGTTCAAACAGGTCCCTGAAAATTTTCATGAGGAGGTAAGTTAACTTATCCCTTTCGGTACAAAAATATGAGCTGTATCGCTCCAGGACAACACAACAACAAACTCGACTTATATCATTCCGTCCCTAATATTTTATAGTCTAGCTACATAATTACATCAGAAAAGTAACTGCAGGTCAGAATAGGAATTTGCACATTGTTGCCGTATTAAAATCCCATCCCAAAACAGTTAAAGTGATCAATCACAAATTTTTTGTTCCGGACATATTTACATGAAATGTGATGCTCTGATTGAGAGAACAAGAAAACGTTCAGAGACGCCAATCTATCATCCACGAGAGTTTTTGACTTTGCAAAACTTTAAAAATTTACCTACAATTAACAAGGGAAATGAAGCTGGCGATCCACTTTGTTGGCGTAAAATATGAGAAATAAAGGTTAAGAAGGACAGCATATGCATCATGAATTTCAAGACACCGACAATTGGAACCACTTGTCGTTTAGGAAACGGGGCGCCCTGTCCAATTTAGCTGCAGGTACAGTGTCAATTTCGGAAAAGAAGAAGCCGAACCTGATCACACTATTACCCTACATTCCCGACAAGTTTTGGGGTTTTTATAAAAATTTGCCCACCAACAGTGAAAAAAAAACACATCCAGATATAGTGTCTTCCTACGACGCGACAACGATTAGTTCGTACTTATAAATCTTTTAATGTTTTTTTGAATTAGCTATGTCAAAAAACTGAAAGTCTCGTTTCTGTGTTTAGTTTAAATGTAACTAATGAGATAACTACATTTTTGTTAAGTTCTTTATTTATTTATTTAGCAACATCCAACAGTCATAGCCAATTACAGGATGGGTAAACATGAAAATATAAACAAATGCATGTAGTGGATGTATGTAGAGAAAGCTAAAACGCTGCAAAAAAAAACCTCAAAACAGAACTGCGAGGAAAAAAGCGTTGTATGAGAGGTATTTTAAAAACTTTCTTTGAACGGACTCTGAGCGGTCAATATATATTTGATGATGAGGATACCAGACCAGGGACGCATAGTCAAGCTCAGATCTTACATAAGCATAGTATAGTATTTTCAGTGTAAAGGAGTTGTGGAAGTCACCAGTATTTCTTACAATAAAACCATACGCCTTTGATGCAGCCACAACAGCATTTTCGATGTGATAGGAGAAGGCAAGTTTTCTGTCGAATGTGACTCCCAAGTTATTAATTGTATTAGGTCTGTCAAGTTTTCTGCCAGCAATACTATATTCATGCATCATTACCTCTGTTGTTAAAGTAAACGACAAAACGTGACACTTAGCATTCAAAACCAGTCTGTTTTCACGACACCAGTTGTCAACCCTTACAATGTTGCATTGCAAGCGATGACAGTCGTCAATGTTCGAGACTCTACAGAAAAGTTTCATATCGTCAGCATCTGTAAGAAAATCGACATCGATAACTTCAGAAACATCATTTAAGAACATAATAAATAACAGAGGTCCCAAATTAGATCCTTGAGGAATACCGGACATTACAGGGTATTCGCTTGACTTATGTCCATTGCACATAACATACTGTTTCCTATGAAATAAATAAGATCTGAAAAATAGCAACAATGCATCTGAAAGACCAAATCTAGATAACTTATTGAGTAGGATGTTATGATCTAAACTATCAAACGCTTTAGAAAAATCATATTGTGTAAGATGTAGCAAATTAGTAACTGTAGACCTGCCCTTCATGAAACCGTGTTGACTGATGGAGATAGACCTGCTTACATGGAAATATAGCACAGTTTGTATGACTATTTCGAATGTTTTAGCGAAATTACTGATAATTGTGATAGCCAGATAGTTTTCTACTTTATTCCTCACATCGTTTTTAAAAACAGGAGTTACCCTAGATAACTTCCAAATACATGGAACGTGATTATTTTTCAGAGAGAGATTGAAAATGATCATGAGTGGATATGCTAAAATGGACGCACAATCTCTCACAAAAAATGCAGGTATTTGATCAGCCCTGCAGTCATTTTTGGCTTAATTTTCTTCAGCACCTGTAGCACATCGATTTCCTGTACGCTAGGCATAGCTAGTGCAGTAGCGAAATGGTAGTCAGTAGAAAAATCGTATTGAGCTGTTGGAGTACTATAGCTCCCACTAAAGTGTTCCGCAAATGCGCCAACTACATCATTAGGTGTATTCAACCCCCGCCCATTGAACAGCATATCCTTCGGAATATCAGTGCAGTTTCTTTTTCTATTAACAAAAGACGAGAATTTGCCGGAGCTGTTGGATATTTCACTCTCTAAAGAGTGAATGTAGCGACGATATGACACAGCTACATGTTGCTTTATCTCTGAGCGAAGAACAGTTGAATATTTCATTAGTTTCAAAACGCAAACCACGAGTGTTTTGATAATAAATAATAAAGTCTTTATCTCTACCAGCATCATGATCATGACTGTCTAAGCTTGAAGCAGTAGCTAGTTTCTCAGTTTTTCTGTAGCATTCGTGAAGGCGGTGCACTGATTTTTGTCCCAAGCTGCATGGAACATTCAGATTCGACTTAGAATTTAATTTGACACAGTTAGAACACTGCTTAGTTGTTGATGTACACTGTTTAATCTCATGTTTTCCACTGCAGATTGGACAAGAAACCTCATACTGACAAGAAGCGGAGCCATGATGGAACTCATTGCATTTAAAGCAACGAAATACCTCCACGGCATCAAAAACCTTACAACAGTCATAACCAACTAATAAGTACCCTGCCTTTATGACCCTGACATAGGAAACTCTATCTATTTGTAAGACAGATTGGAAGATTTTATTATATATTATAAGGGAATTGAAGGACCTTTAAAATAAGGTATCACTCGACCCCCTTTACCATTTAAGATTTTAGGGTTGGTGTCACCCCCACCCAGGAGGCTGCATGTGTTAACGTAATTTTTTGCCAAACTTGTGTCCCCCTCGAAAACAAAATCGACGGGTCTGAGCGTTTCTCCAAAAAAAAAACTGAGCTGCCAGTAAATGCGTCTGTTTCGTTTTTGATGCGCCACCCTGTATAACAAAGCAGCTGCCCATACAGAAACCCAAATACGAGGGTACCGCGACTGTTATGAGGAGCTTAATACGATTTTTGAATAGCCTAAGGTTAGAATAACTGGTAGTTTGTTCCACAATCTCGATACCCTAGAGACAAAGGAGCGGTCGTATCGGCCAGTTCTGGATGTACGGACTCCGATATAGTTGGGATGGGAGGCCCAAACCCTCAACTGCGCTATGGTAAGGTCGAGTTGGCACCAAATATCTTATCAAGCACTTCCGCCTTAGTCTTTGAGTCCGTTACAATCGTTCTATCCTGGCACATACGTGGTGAAAGGATTCTCTTGAAGAGGATCTCGCCAATATTTTGGCCAGCATCCTGGAAAACTATCATTACGCTGCGACATAACCCTGATCAGATAAAGAACCTAAAATGATTCTCAAACTGAGCATGGATACTATAGTAATGAGACATAGGGATGAAATTAACTTGCCTACATACAGCTTCTAGATTGTTTATGCTTTTTGCAGACCAAACTTAAGAATATCTAAAAAATATCATTAAGAAAAGAACTCTAGGACTTTAGGATAGGAAACATGTAATTAAATGCTTTTCTGTAAATTGTGATTGCTTTTTTGGTCAGTTGTATAGCATACGTTCTTCAGTAGTGATATGACTACTTTTGTGCATTGCTTATCACTAAATGTGTAACATTTTGAGTCAGCAACTCTATTGCTAAGAGGGAGGGGTGACTTTTGGCAATACCAGCCGCAAAACAGCTAAAAGCAAAGCTGGAGGAGTGTATGGTGGTTCTCCGCGATCCTTCTCACGCTGAAGATTAAAATCCCATTAGATAATGGACGGGATAGCACCCAAACCAAAACAACTAAACGTAAGATACAATATGAATGGGCGCTACTCCACAAACTGGTGTTCGGCACCTAATATCCCAGGATCTGGAGGTTGAACAAATGGCGCTCACACCACAATCTCAGACCTAACTTGATAAAGGAAGGTTCAATGAGTGGCCTTGAAGAAGATATGCTCGAACCACACACACAGCGGTTGCATGGGAGCCGCTTCCCTCATCAAATGAGTTTTTTTTGTTTGTTATTTTTAACCCAAAAATAAAAACACATTATTATTATTATTATTATTATTCCTTATTTTTTGAACAACTACAAAATGCCTTTTTTCTAGTACCATGTTGTGTAACCGTCAAATCTATATTACAAGGGTTGGTCACGAAGGAGACTTTCTATCTTACTGAAAGGAAAACCGCGGCTATTTAATGAGGTTTGGTAGTATCCAAGGTTTCCGCCTTATGACTTGATACCTTCAGAAGCGCAATAATATGATGGCAAAACGATCTCTTACCCATGTAGATTCATCCATTGCAGGTTCCTGAGCTCCTTCAATGCAGCAAAGGGAACACTGTCCAGTTGATTGTAGCTCAGATCCAGCGAAGTAAGACTTTGCCAAAGAGAGCTGAAAAAAAATATCTATTGAAAAGTGTGAAAATGATCATTGAGTCCAAGCAACAAGGCGAAGTATTCAAATCTCAAATAGAATCCAATGCTACGTTACAGCTCGTATATTCATTCACTGTCCAGGTTATTTTATAGATAAGCTTGATATTATATCATCCGAATCAGGCTATAGTTAGAAATTAGTAATGTTCAGACGGCTGCCTTTAATAATTTAGAAGCTCTTCATTTATTCAAGCCCATTTAGCTGTAATCTGACCAACTACTTTTCCAGAGCCCCGGATCCATTAATCCTATCGCGCTTATTACGAATTTATCGTTTTCGGCTAATCTATTATCAATCCTAATTGATAGAGCGGAATCCGATGACTGGCTTAATATTCCTGTAATTGTGAGGCAATGAATATATTCGCTAGTAAAAATCACCCATATAAAAGTTGCATAATAAAAGAAATAGTATAATATTGAAAATTTGAAAAAATATAAATATTACGCAGATTTTTTGATATCTGGACTACTGCCGTCTTTTTTCTTTACTACTCTCACCGTTTATCTAAATTTGGCAAACTGTTTGGGCCGAGTGAATAAAAACTTAGCTTTTGCTTTTAGTATGAAGTATAAGCTTTAGCTTTTACTAGGTAGATTTAGCTTTTGCTAATAGCATTTGCTGAAATTGAAGTGAATAATCTTCTGCTTTTACTTACTAGCAAAAGCTAGATATTTTAAGTATTTATACCAAGTGACATATAAATCCGAACACCCAGTTTAAATGGTTTTATTTCAATAAAATTTTGTATAAGTACTTAATGAAGCATAATAAGTAAATGATAAAAATTTCAAAATGATTGCACTGCTTTAAAGCCCTTTGACCTTTAATAATGTGTGGATGCACCGTGGTGTACTACGCATTCTCCAACGCGCCTAGGCATGCTTCTGATCAGGTGGTCAATGTTCTTCTGTGGTATCTCATTCCAGGCAACCACCAACTCCTCTCGAAGTGCTTCTAGAGTCTGAGGAGGACGTCGCAAATTGAGCAATCTCCTACCCATCATATCCCACACGTGCTCAATTGGGGATAAGTCGGGAGATCTTGGTGGCCATGGTAACAATGTGACATCATTATGTTGAAAGAAGTCTATTGTGACTCTTGCAGCATGTGGTCGGGCATTATCTTGTTGGAAAGTTGGATCTGCCAGGGTGTCAAGATATGGTAAAAGCTGGGGTTCTAGAACTTCGTGGATGTAACGCTGCGCGTTCATGTTACCTCTGATGAAGATTAAAGGTGACCTGGAACCATAAGCTATAGCACCCGAAACCATAACTCCAACAGTGTGATGAACATGTCTTTCAACAAAAAACTGTGGATTCCTCCTTTCACCACGTCGCCTTCTAACCCTGGCACGACCATCGTGCATGCCTAAACAAAATCGAGACTCGTCACTAAAGACAATACTGTTCCATTCCTGATCCCAGAGTGACCGTTGTCTGCACCACTCAAGGCGATTACGTCGGTGTTCTCGAGTTAAAGGGAGGACCCAGTGTGGCCGGTATGAAAACAAGCCAAAACTTCTCATTCGTCGGTAAACACTTCGCATGCCAATAGGTCTTCCGTGTTCTGCAAACCATTCATTTGCAATGGACCTGGTAGTGGAGAAACGGTCCCTTAAGGCCAATAATCTTAGGCGGCGATCTTCACGGTCTGTTGTTCTACGGCGGCGTCCAGTGCCCCTTGCTCTTTGCGTACGGCCTTCTCGAAGCCATGCCTGACAACACCTAACCACAGTGTCTACACTTCTTTGCGCTCTAACTGCAATTGCCTGAAAAGAAAGTCCAGCTTCCCGAAGTCCCACTATACGGCCCCTATCAAACTCACTAAGTTGACGAAATCGTACAGGTCTCCGTACTCTAGGCATCGTAACCGATCGTAAAGGATGTCAAGAACCAAAATCCGCCAACGTTGATTCTTTACTGCGGCTGAAATATTCATTTTTAGAGCGTTAGTGAATAAAAAAAAAGCAGTATAAAGACCGGAATGTCCAACTGATAAGGCTGAAAATTTTTTCACTTGTTATTTACAGTAAGATAAATACATTTACCAACTTTTATTAAAATAAAACCATTTAAACTGGGTGTTCGGATTTATATGTCACTTAGTATACTTAAAGTTCTTATTTGCTAAATCATCAAAAAAAAAAAATGTTTGTATACTGATAGGGCCTATGTTTATATTTTTATGACTAATCAGTCGGCCGTGAAATTCTGTGGAACTGCAGGCTCAGACCTGTCGATAGACTGTATGTGTATGGACAAATTTTAACTGCCGATGTGCAAATCGACAAAGGCAAATATCGAGCACATGCAAATTTTTTAAACCAGTATCATTACGTTCAAAATGAGTAGTGATTCAGAAAATGATTTTTTGACGGAGGAAGAAACTGCAAAAATTTCGTCCAACCTGAAATTGAGAGAATAAGAGAGAAAAAAGAACAAGTATACAAAGAACTCCACCAAAAATATATTTTGCAAATTGGAAGGGATTTAACTGAAAAACAACTGAAAAAGAAAATCCAAAATATGAAGACCGATTTGAAGAAAAAGACGGACAAAACTGCAACGGGAAATAAGAAAATTGTTTTAAACGCGTGGGAACAACAACTTTTGGCGCTAATGGAAGGACAAGAAACCTTGTTTTTCAAAAAGTACCAGGTAGGTAATAAGGAGGGCGTAAAATAAAAAAAAAATGGAAAAAATCGAGTAACATGTCATTTTATGGGTTTTTGGGTATGAAGATTTTGATTTTAGATCCCATTGGATATTTTATTGAAAATGGAGGGGAAAGGGAGGGAATAAAATTAAAAAAAACTTTTTCGTACAAAATCGGGTAATATGTCATTTTAGGGGTTTTTGATTATACATATTTTGATGTTACACCCCACTGAATCTTTTAATAAAAATGGGGATGGGAGGGGTAATATTTTATAATATGACGTTTTATGTGTTTTTTTAAGGGTTTTGGGGTAAATGAATCTAGTTCTACTAATTGTTTTACGCATTTTGACATTAAAAATCCATCAAGGTCAAAACTTAAAATATAATGCATGTCGTTTTCTAAGTACTTAGGGAGGGTTAGGTACTCAAACAGTGATGTGGAAGTATTGATTCAATTTGCAGCGGTTTTATAGTTTTGCTGCTACTTGATCCAAAAAATTGTTTCAAGAGCAATAGGATCTGTAGAACAACATGATCCATCAACATCCAAAACTGGCTTCGTGGCTTGTAAAGAGTCGTGGATTCGCCGAGCAATTTTTTATATCGAATATATACAATGCGTTATACAGGGTGGCGCATCGAAAACGAAACAGATGCATTTACTGGCAGCTCAGTTTTTTTTTGGAAAAACGCTCAGACACGTCGATTTTGTTTTCGAGGGGGACACAAGTTTGGCAAAAAATCACGTTAGCACGTGCAGCCCCCTAAGCGGGGGTGACACCACCCCTGAAATCTTAAATGGAAAGGGGGGTCGAGTGATACCTTATTTTAAAGGTCTTTCAATTCCCTTAATAATGATATAAAATTAATGTACTTCAGTTCAATAGTTTTGAAGATTTATTGATTTAAAGCTTAAACTAGACTTTAATAGGTACATCAGATTAGTTTGTACTACTTTCAGGAGAAATTTGACTAAAAGAATTTACTTAATAAGTAAATGCTTTTCTTTACTACGCCCATGGTTTGTTTATCATTTTGTTGTTGAAAATAGCTATTGGAGCGTTTTTTTGTGGCAAAAAAGTTATTTCTTAAAGAAAGATCGTACTTATTTTAAATACTATATTAGTACATAGTTTGCGATTGATTTGACCAAACTTTGTGATGTAAAGTTATTTTCAAAGATTTGTAACGATTAGTTACTTTGAATACCGGGCTAGTTACTCTGGACTCGTTATTAGTTACTAAGTATTCTTTGTAGCGTGATTCATTTATTTTGTCTTAAAGTACTTATATATATATATAAAGAGAATATGATCATGCGGAGAAAAGTATATAACAACAAGTAGGAAAATAATGGGCAAAATCCGCAAAAAGGAGGAAAGTGGATTCGAGCAGAAAATAGGATAGGTAACCCGAGCGATACGTATTTCTGCTGGTTGGCTTCATCAGGCCTGAAATGAATGCACATATGAAACTACAAAAGTTGATACACATGCCCACACATCCGGATACGGGTGTAACCTGAGGAAACGAAGTTGGAGGAAAAAAAAACGACACACGAAGTCCACAACAAGAGCCAACATACACATTGTAGTATAAAATGGCTATACGACCTCGAATTTTCAAGGAGACGTCTAACCACCACCAAGCGGGCGGTTATAGCCACTTTCCTCCTTTTTGCGGATTTTTCCCATTATTTTCCTACTTGTTGTATACTTTTCTCCGCATGATCATATTCTCTTTGTAGATACTTTGGGCTTGAAGTACCACAGCAAGTGGCTATAACCGGCCGCGTGGTGGTGGTTAGACGTCTCCTTGAAGATTCAAGGTCGTATAGCCATTTTATACTACAATGTGTAGGTTGGCTCTTGTTGTGGACTTCGTGTGTCGTTTTTTTTCCCCTCCAACTTCGTTTCCTCAGGTTACACCCGTATTCGGATGTGTGGGCATGTGTATCTACTTTTGTAGTTTCATATGTGCATTCATTTCGAGCCTGATGAAGCCAACCAGCAGAAATACGTATCGCTCGGGTTACCTATCCTATTTTCTGCTCGAATCCACTTTCCTCCTTTTTGCGGATTTTGCCCATTATTTTCCTACTTGTTGTTATATATATATACTATATAGCGTAAAGTAAAATATAGGTAGTAGTTATTGGTTATGTTGTCAGTTTCTTAAATCTACTTCCTGAAATAGACAAAGAATATATATGACATATATTGTAGCCAATTGGGCCATCTGTGCACCATAACATAAACCTTCGCGCGGAATGCGTGGACTAAAATAAAAAAGTTAGTAAATAGCAAAGAGAACGAGTCTTTTGTACCACGGGTATTAGTTACTTTGAGTCCTGGCAAGTCACACTTGCTTTGTAACTGTTACTCAAATATTTTACATCACTACTTCGGGATGTTATTTCCGCAGGCGAGAATCGAAATCGCGGCCCGGTCGGTCGGCTGATCAGTAGCACGACACTCTGACCCATCCGGCCAACTAGGTCCCCCTATTTTTGGTTCAGTTAATTTACGTCAAACCTACAGAATATTTTGAAGACTATTGAAACTATTTAGAGATTTAATTTTTATTTGACTTCAAGACAAGAGCTCCATACTGAAACATGTTGAAAAACCTCTCGTTTTCGAAATATTCCCAAAAATTGTTTTCCATCTGTAAAACTGCTAGGCCGATTTCTGTCAACGACTAGTGCTGCTGAGGAATACTCATTTGATGTCAGTTAAATGTCGATAAGTCTTTCCAGAGATATTATTAATTGTTGGATTATTAGTCTAGTTTTTCATACATACAAGGTGGCCCAACGAAAAGGGCGCTCCCCCATTTGTGATTCTCCTGGTATATTTTGGAAAAAACGCTCGAACACATCAATTTTGACTTCTAGGGGAAGGATTTTTCATAAAACTTCTACGTTCCGTATGGTATGGGAAACATCTAGGATTGCTTCAATTTCTAAAAAAGGGGACCGATATGTGAAAATTATAGACCTGTGGTAATTAAAAGCAATGTTTGCAAGCTTTTTGAATTTATTTTACATGATATAATTTTCCATGTTAAGCGAGAGATTTCACCCAGCCAGCAAGACTTCTTCCAAGGTAGGTCAACGTTAACTAATTTAGCATGCTTCAAACAATTTTGCTCGGAAAATATTGATGACAAATAGATTTTGGTATGTAGATTTTTCGAAAGCATTTGATAAACTAGACCATGGCATTTTGTTAAATAAATTACCTGCGCGGGGATTGATCAATTTTTGTGCTTTTTCAATTCATATCTGACAAATAGATACTTGAGAGTAGAATATAGAAGTTTTGCTTCCATTGACATTACACCGTCTTCAGGTATACCGCAAGGGTCTGCACTTGGTCCCCTGCAGTTTCTGATTCTTATTGATGATGTTGTTAGCGAACTGCAGAGTAGCTGTCTCCTTTATGCTGATGATTTAAAGATGTTTTGTGAAATATCTACCAACCGCGACTGCCACACACTGCAACAGGATTTAGATGCTCTAACACATGGTGTCAAAGTGACAATCTGTATCTTAATGTAGATAAATGTTGTACTCCACGAGTAAGCTTGCTTCGACGCATTTTGTTTACACCGCTCATAAATTGCCGCTAAAACCGCGTCAAGAATTCAATGATTTGAGCATGATATTTGATGCGAAGCTAACGTTTCTCGAGCATATTGATACTGTTACCAGCAAAGCATACAAGTGCTTGGGCTTCATAATCAGGAACTGTAGATATTTTAATAATTCAAGGACAAGGATTATGTTGTACAATTCATTTGGGAGATATAAAATAGAATATTGCTCACTAATATGGTACCCTGTTTATGAAGTGCATCGCAATAAGGCCGAAGATATTCAAAGGCGATTTGTGAAATATCTGTGGTGCAGAAAGGATGGTACCTACCTTCCAATTGGTTTCAGGCATGCTGTGTTGCTAAGAAGGTTTAATATGTCCAATTTATTAAAGCGAACAGATTATGCTGCTTGTATGTTTTTATGTAAATGACTCAGTAATATAATTGAGTTGTTTTTAATTTTAAAATATTTTTACTATGGAAACTATATTGATTTTTATATACCTTATAATCCCTTACTATCTCAATTTCAAGAACCCTATTACACTCAAATAGCTTTACAACGACTAAAGAGAGGTATAAACTTTATTATACAATAGTTACTAAAAACTATGGAGCTACTATGGAAAATATAAAAATTGGGTTTCCATTTAAGAATCTAAAATGTAACGCAATATCTCATTTATTCCCAAAATATACCACGATAGTCACAAATAAGGGTGCGACTTTTTCGTTGGGCCACCCTGTATAAGCCTTTTACTTGAACAATTTGGAATAAACTTTTTATGCCTCCTAAACTTTTGCCAAAACATGTTTGATTTCTAAGCGCTGATACGCCAGTCGAGAGTAAGATAGATCGTAATATTGATATTTGACTTTGAATAGTGTGAACGAAATCAAACTGACTTTCATACAATCGTTGAGTATTTTTTAAATTTTCAGAGTGTTTATTTTTCAGTTCAACTTCTGCCAAATTGTTTTCCTCCATATTTTCCGCTCGCAAATATCCACTTCCTCACCCAACAAATCTATTTTTTCCACTTTTCTTTCTGTCCACGTTACTCTCTCAACCTTTTCGCTACACACCATTAAAATCTGAACTCAAAACTGCGCAACTTTCAACCAGAAGCTCGGCTTAAAGGAAGAAGCTGAATCGTGATCGTGTGAACTGCCCGCCTTGACTGATTTACTTTAAACCCCCCATTGAAGACAAGAGCCTTAGATGTATTGAAATAAGGAGTTTCAATTATGTTAGTGCCGATCACCAGAGCTCCCTCAAAGTTTCTAATGCACATAATACGTGTGTGTCGTGCACTGTTTGCAGTTCAAGGGAAAATCCATATTCATGTCAGGAACAGCAGCAGCGAAACAAACTATGGTACGTGGCGAAACTCCAAAGCTTTTCTAAGACCACACCTACACGAGGAAGTTTCCCTTAATTAGTGTCCCGCAAACTTACATGTCGCCTTGTAAATAAGTTTAATAAACCTGCATTGCTCCAGGTAATTGATTATTATTAAAAAGTTAAACCGGGGATGCCAGCATCTGTTAAACTGTGACGCACAGCTTACAAACTTCGGCTTTAGAGTTCCTGCAAATTCGCTAAGCTGTTACAGCCGGCGATGAGCTATGATACAAGGAAATTGAGACGAAGGTAGATAATATTTCATTTCCAGTTGAACAGTCTCAGTTAGCCCTTAGGGACCGTTATCACTAAAAGCAACTGGCAACTACAGCACGATTACAATTTGATAGTGGTCTCATTTGGCAAATATTGGTTTTTCCAATAGTGACTTCACAACTCTGAACTTTCACTGTGAATGCCGCTTCAAATTAATTACCGAACTGTCAATGTCAAAACATTCAGTAAAGAAAACATTTTGATCATGATGAAGTAATAATAATAATAACGTTTATTGAGATACAACTCAAAAGGAAAGGGTATTGTACGGATATTTTTCAACCCTTCCGTAGGCAATAATATAAATAGATAAATTGCGAAAGAATAGATTGATAATAGACAACAGACAGGTATAGTTGAACAACGTGGCACAAGCCACATAACTGGTGAAACAATCGACATATTCAAATCAAAATTCGGTGAACGTGAAATCGTCCTGTTGAATGGCCGCCTAGATCGTGTGATTCAACACCTCTAGACTTTTTTTGTGAAGCTACATTAAATCGTTGGTCCATGCCGACAAGCCGGCGTCATTAAAGGAGCTCAGTGCCAATATTGAACGAGAGATAGCGACCATTTCTGTCGAAATGTGTGGCCGAGTCATTAAAAATGGGTTAATCGAATCGATCGCTGAACGTACCCGTAGTGGACATGTGAAAGAGGTCGAAATGCAATCCATACAATGCTGTGAGTATACTTCAATATATTAATAAAATTTTCGAGATATTTCAAATGGTTTGCGTTTTATTCAAAAAGAAAGTTGTCTAGTCTTAGACTGGAAAACCCTTTACAAAAATTCTCTTCAACAAGTCGGTTATGCGACCAGTTAGTTGTTTAACAGTTGCTGACACTTTTGTCGCTAGGCAATTTGTAGTTGCCAATCAGTTAATGAAAGATGCTATCTGTGGATGTATGTAACTGTAACACTTCCGGTTGTTTCCTCAAAAAGTTATTGATACTCTTATGAAAGTATTATTTCGTCGCGTAGGGCACGAAATACGCTTTGCCATATGGAAAATATATTTATTTTCAAAGTGATTATCATCATATTGATATACACTAGAACATATCGCTTCAAATGCTCGTATGTAATAGGATGATATATCGTCGCCCAGCTCGTCTTCGAATGCAAGCCTCCGACCTTTTCGATGTGCCTTCGCAAAAGAAAAAAGCCAAAATCGCATAACGTCATATCAAGACTATAAAGTGGATGGGTCAACACCTGGATTCCAGTTTCTTTAAAAAAACTGTTAAGATACCACGAATTTGGTCTTAACCTCATCAGTGCTGCAATTTTCTGTGTACCATTGAGCTGTGAATATCTACTGCCTCCCAGACACAATGTTTTCCACTAGACCTGATTTTCTGACTAATAGACAGGACCGCCATTATACCAGTCATCCGCTACTTTGTTACTTCGATCAGCGTTGTTAAGAACCAAAATAGTGTATTTATATTCTGCACAATCTCAAAGCTATAATCAGCTGCTAAGCAGTTGCTTCCGTTCAGGTTGCTTTAGGTGAGAACAGTGCCTAGCTGTTCTGAGGATGCCTGGTGGCAAAAATTGCAAATGCAAATTAGATGCAGGTTCCACTCGGAAATTAAGAAGTCTGCAGAAACAGTGCCTGTAGAAGTCCCAAATTGAGCAAACAAAGACATCAGATACATATTATAACATATGCCTAAAAATTAAAAACCCACGTGCTAGTTTGTAATTGTTCCAGGTTAGTATAATTGTTCCCCAAGTTTCTTACCTGAAAGCTTTATCAGCAACGTGCTGCAACTGATTGTGGGCCAGTATAAGTGCTTGCACCTGGCAACCAGCTAGACTCTCAGCTTCAACTATGACAGCTTGTGACCCATAGATTTCTAGCTGACTGATTGCGACTTCTGGCAAATCTGTAAGAAATTCAAGTTTTAGTGCTCAAAACTACTAAATAATAATAATAACATTATTAATAACATCTATTCAAAACCCTTACAAACAACAACTAATATGTCGCTTAGGTATAGACTGTATACTGCTTATAATTCTCGTATTAAAAGTACCATTAGTCTGAACTACTAGATTGTGATGTTCAATTCCATCTTTACGTACTCAAGGTTGTACATTCTACTCACTTTAAAATGCATTTGAAGCTAATTACTCTGTAACTTGGTTTTTAAATAAAAAATGATTACTGATTTGCTGTATTTCAGCTGGTAATTTATTGTATAATTTTATGTAGTTATAGTAGGGTTATTTTTTTGAAACGTGTATGGATGATCTTCAAATTTTGATTTCTAGTATTATAATTATGATGAGCATTAATATTTGGGAACAGATTATTAAGCTTCTTAACGTAAGATTTCTCTGCAGAAGTCAAGTGGGCTCATTCCGGCAACAAATAATAATTTCGGAATATTTTCCCCATATCATAATGTTATAAGACATATGGGTATAAACTAGCTAATAATATACGTTGATAAGAGCTTTTTTATTTAGGACATCTTCAAGTCGTTAAATAACAAAATATGTTTTACTTAAATTCTTACATACGTGAAAATTTAGTTTACAATCAAAATATATAACAAGTAATTTACAAGAGTCCAACCGTGCGTTGGATGTCAAAATTGATAACAACAGTTTTATTACAATTTAAGGTTAATCGATTTCTTTGTCACCAAACAGATAACTAATGGAATATACATAGAATTTTGGAGCGAAGGTGATTGACAGTTTTTGTAGATACAGTTATAGTGATATCATCTGCAAACATGGTTATATATCCCTCTGAGATATGACTGGGCAAATCACTGACGAATACATTGAACAGCAGTGGTTCCAGTACAGATCTCTGGAGTACAATACCTGTATGTTCAACAGGATATATATATATATATATATATATATATATCAGATGTTGTACTTCCAACTTCAACTTTTAGATTTCTGTCCTCCATGTAAAAGATGACCCAATTCAAGAAGAAGCCCCTACTACCCACACTACATAATTTTTGTTTAAGTATGTTGCTGTCTTTAGTGTCGAATGCTTTAGATAGATCAAAAGGTAACGACAAATGTTACCTTCATCAAGTCTGCTACATTCAGGATATGAGATTTTTCAGCAACACCGTATAATCAGGGATACATGGCTTTTTCTAGTAGTTTAGATACATTTCTCAATAATGAAATTTGACGATGGATGCCCACGTTATCATGTTCACCTTTTTAAATATTGGTCTAATCATCGCAAGTTTAAAGATTTTAGGAAAACAACCAATTTCAACAGATTTATAAAATAAAGATACCAAAGTGTCACCAATACAACTAAGAATTTCATTTAAAAGATTTGAAGTAATATTATCGATGCCAGTAGACCTTTTGCTTCTAATTTTGTTTAAAATATTTTGTAGCTGGTCTAAAGTGGTTGGCTTAATTAAAATAGAATTTTGTCTGCAAGATGAAATGCTACAGCGAATGGCTTAAGCCAGGCAATTTCAGGACTCAAACTCTTTTGGGTAGAGAAAAAAAAGACATTTGAGCAAACTTGATGAAGTTTTAAAATTCTTGGTGAAGCAACTGTTTCAAAGAGGCTCATGCTTAACGGGATTGAAGGATTCACTGGAATATACTGTCTATTGATTCCAGAAGTGCTCTTTATACTGAAAAACTATGAAGCATGATCACGATATTCCGTAATGTTGTAAGATACACCACTATACTACTATATTGTGATACCGACTCGCTGATTTATTATGATTCGGTATGACTTAATTCGGACAACTCAATTTCAGCAGTCAGACTCATTTTGGTTAAGCAACTGTTTCAAAGAGGTTCATGCCTAAAGAAATTGAAGCATACACTCAAATATATTCTCTATTGATTCAAAATGTGCTCTTTATACTGAAAAACAATGGAGCATGTCCTCGATACTCCGTAATTTTGTAACTATACTACTATATTGTGATACCGATTCACTGATTTATCATGATTCGGAATCGCTTAACTCGATCAACTCTATTTCAGCACTCGGGCTCATTTTGGGTAGACAGCATTTGAGCAAACCTACTGAGGTTTTAAATTTTTCGGCTAAGCAACTGTTTCAAAGAGGTTCATGCCTAAAGAAATTGAAGCATACACTCAAATATATTCTCTATTGATTCAAAATGTGCTCTTTATACTGAAAAACAATGGAGCATGTCCTCGATACTCCGTAATTTTGTAACTATACTACTATATTGTGATACCGACTCACTGATTTATCATGATTCGGAATCGCTTAACTCGATCAACTCTATTTCAGCACTCGGGCTCATTTTGGGTAGACAGCATTTGAGCAAACTCATTCGGGTTTTAAATTTTTCGGTGAAGCAATTGTTTCAAAGAGGCTCGTGCTAAAGAAATAGAAGGATATACTCAAATCTACTCTCCATTGATTCAAGATGTGCTCTTTATACTGAAAAACGATAGAGCATGTCCTCGATATTCCGTAATTTTGTAAGACACAACTATACTACTATATTGTGATACCGACTCACTGATTTATCATGATTTGGAATATTTTAACTCGGTCAACTCTATTTTAGCACTCAGACTTATTTTGGGTAGAGTGCATTTGAGCAAACTTACTGAGGTTTTAAAATTTTCGGTGCAGCAACTGTTTCAAAGAGGCTCATACCTAAAGGAATTGAAAGATACACTCTGTCTATTAATTCAAGAAGTGCACTTGATGCCTTTGTAAAACACACCATTCTTTTTATTGGAAAATGATAAGAAGTGACAAACTTGATACTAACTATACAGCATCCAAGCCGAATAGCTTTTGAATAATTTGAGGTATAGCCATAGGCACCACAATCGCGGTATACTTTTTCACGGAAACGTACATATCAGACTTTTTTATGTAAACGCCTGCGGCGATCGATTGTACGTTTCTTCTTGGCAAATTCCATTACGGTGAACATTTCGCCTACAGCCGACTTATTAAGGATCATTCAATTATCCCGGTAGCTCGAATTGAAAGCAAAAAAATAGGCGACATTCTACCGATCGAAAAAATTAAGAGCCGGACAAAAAATTCACTTTCGCTCTCGGAAACGCATTCCGCTACCTCCGCAGAAGATGAATTCTAACAGAATTAGAAAAACGAAACGCCCCTCACAGGAGGAGCAAATGTTGTTACGGTTCTCCCTTAAGCAAGAACAATCAGCCTCCGAGAATTGTACAGCTATTGGAGGAGCCGGTGTATTAGCGAATGCTCCCTTTTGTTTTTTGTCTGGATGGAACTCGAGGCTTCGCTTTGGTCCATTAACGCTACAATTTAAGGGAGACATGGAGTAGCTCGATGCAATATTGGATATAGGATAGAATTGTATATGTTGATGGATTTGATCTTTCGGAATCAAATTTGAAAATACTTGACTCTAACCGGGTCATAGTCGACGTCATTCAAAAGTTGTTCAGGCAGAAAATAATTTTGTGATAGCCCAAGTCGTAAGAGTTACACTCAGGAGAAATAATTTCTCCAACTTGTTTTTTGGCAACACAATGGCTATATTTAAAGCATGCTGTGGCAACAATGTCAACGTTTTTGTTTACCTTTCTTAAAATGTTATTTCCAAGTTTTTGTGAAGAAAGCAGTTTCTGAGAGCTGAGTAGTACAGATATTTTTAGTTAATGCCCCTTCATGTACTAGTGTTGAGCATCACAAAGTGCCTCGATTTCGAAGACGCCCAAATTATCTCCAAGTTAGCGACTTTGACAGGGGTATAATTATTGCCTATCGAGATGTTGGTTTATCCTATCGCAAAATTGGCCGTTGTGTTAATTGTACTGCAATCACGGTAATGCGTGTGTGTCGTGTGTAGACGGAAGAAGGTAGAGGAACACGAAGAAGCAAACTGGTCCACCGAGGCGTACTACAGCGCATCAAGATAGGTGCTTCATACAACTAGCGATCCAGCATTTTGTTGGTAGGTAGACCTGGCAACGCTTTTGCAGAGATATCACCAAAAAGCAGCAAAAATACAATGCTGACCTGGCCTCAAGTATACAATGTAAAATTCGTTTCCGTTGACAATGCGCCGGAATGAGTCGACTAGCGGTATCATACTTTAACAGTTTCCGCTTTCGTAATGTGTGTACTGGTACGTAGGAAAATACGTGTGTGGTCGGGATGGTAGCCCGCAAGAATTTATACCTAAACAGACACTGGTCGTTTGTTTAACGACCTTATCTCGTAATTCGAAGGCAAACAGCACGGCCAGTGTATGCGGCCCGCCCGTGCCGAGTTGTTTAATAGACCAGAAACCGAGAAAAATCACCGCAAATAATCCATATATCTGGAAAGTGAGCACGCGGAGATTTTCTGATCAAGGCTGGTAAGCTAGAAAATTAAGAGCTAAAAATAACCCATAATGACATACATTCAGTGAAATCCATATACCAGTGACATCGTAATATGTATGAGAGAAAAGCACTAGAAGCGTTCAATACGTATGCTAGAAAGAGATAGAAGCGCCTCGTTGTCTAGACACACCGCGGACGCTGCTGCGGCTTGCCGATTCTCGGGCTTCTCTTCCGTACACATTACCTCATTATTGATATCTGGATTTCTCTGTATCTTCACATCTTGAGTTTGCTAACATTACGGTATCAATGTTTTAATTCACTCTTGGGAAGTATCTACATGACTCGGCAATGTATTCAAATACAAGCGTTCACATGAAAAAGCAAATCCAGTGATCTGTGAAAGTCGTTGTGATACCAGCTAATGATCCCGTCGTGTTCTCAAAAATGTGCTGATACTAGGGTGGAATTATTTTGCCGAGATTCTGTTGCAGATGTAGTGTTGAAAATCTTCCAAAGGACCTGCAGTTGACGCAAGAAATATGATAATCAATTCAATAGAAGTTGT